CCATGGGAGGCAAACTTTAAAACATCAGAGGGGGTTTTGTTCAGGGCTGTTACCATACCGGCCATTTGGGGCAGCTGATGGTCTGAGTTCCTCTTTGGCTGGGAAAATACTAATGGCAAATAAATACCAACGTTTGGAGAACAGGAAATTTCTCAAAGAGAAATAAACCGTCAGCACAAATATTCTTCTGTGGTAACAGAGAACACTTTCATTGCAATTTTGACCTTCTGTAGCATTTTGATTTATATATTTAGCTCTGCTTTGATGTATCTTTTGTGCTACTATTTATTTTTACTCTGTACATCAGTGACTGTTCTTTTTAAACTGATCATTAGCAAGTGTTCTGCTAATTGTTAATTCTGCCTGCCATTTCTGAAGTAATTGATTTTACATTTTGCTCATTTCTCCCCTCCTCCCTCCCTCCCCCCTCTCCCTCCATACCCCAAAACCATTTTGAAATACAAAACTGAAAATGTTCTTCTTGGTATTAAAGAGCTTTATTCTATGGCTCTTGAAAGACCAAAAGACAAAGCAGAACATCCCCATGGATGTCCATCCCCCCTTCATTTCAAACACATCAACACTGCCACTGGAAAAACAAACACTTCCAATCAGCTCTGCAAACCAGGCTTACTTCCTTATTTTATCTCCCCATCCTACCTCCTTTAGCATGGTGTTCAGAGCCTTTCTCCTACACTAAACAGCCCAATCTTTTTCCTTGTCTCCTGCTCACTGTATTAAGCTGTGTCTAAGATTTTAGATAGAAGATTGCTCTTGCATTCAGGAATCCAAAGGAGTTTCTGCTCCTGAGAGCCTTTTCTGTTGACCACAGCCAAGTTCAGAACATGAGTCTTCATTGCACTATGAGAATGATCAATGTGCTTTGTTACCCTTCTCCTTTCCTTTTATTTTGTTCTTTTTCCCTTTGTCTTTTTCTATACAGGCATTCAAAAATGAAACTAAAACTCATAAGAAGTTCATAAATTAGCCTTCACATCAGCTGGCAACAAGGCATGAAATAGCAACAAAAAGAAAGTGTATGTTGTATCAGGGGAGACATTCTATTGGAGAGGATAGAGAGGCATCGGGGTCTGCTGCAGGAGGAAAAGCCCAGAGCAAGAGATGGATTTGGAAGAAGTAAACCTGTCCTTGTTAAGTGGGCTTGGGCCACCATTGCCTTCTCATGTGTGGTCTGGAGACCACTGGTGGCAGCCAGGACTGCAGAAAGACAGCAAAAAGGAAAAATGAAATGAAATGAAATTAAAAATAAATAAACAAAACAAAACAGGCAAAGGAACAAACAAAAAGACACATTCACAGATGCAGCAGAAAACTAACAAATGCACTAAAAGATATTAATGGTGTTGATGTGACAGTGGCCAGCATAGTTCAGGGAGCAACACTGTGAAAGAAGAGCTGAGAATTTTAGTACTTTTTTTTTTACTTTTTTTTTTCCTTTCAAACAAGACAGCAGCGCAGGTTTGAATCATTGCTCACAATCACTTCCATCCCGTGTTTTATTATGTTTGAAGCCCTGGGGTCAGAGGATCAGAGAAGCCAGCAGAGCTCACTAGCCTCCAGCTGGACATGGCAATGAAGATCAGACCCATTTCCCAGGAGATCATTGAATTGCTGGCCCGTGGCAAGCCATGCACATCTCTACAATCACTTAAATACTATAATTCCAGCATGATGAGAACAGGATCCACCTCTCCAGTTGCTGGACCCAGGGGATGCTGCAGCCAGCTGCACTGTAGTTCATTCTCCTCTGCAGAGGAAAGGTGCACTGAAGGCACAGCACTGCGAGTGCAAATATGGAATACATGCAAATGTGGACCAAAGTGCTTTAAGCTGTGGTCTTCTGCACTGAGAAACTGCCTGACTTTTACAAGGCAAAGGCACAAGATGTAATTACCATGGTGTAAAACATAACATGTTCATGGGATTCATGTGACTTCTATTTAAAAAGCCCCATGCACAGTGCCACACAGAGCCCCTGTGCCTGAAATTCAAGTCCTAGGATAAACTCAGCCCCAGACAGAAGGCAAAACATAGCGAGGAAAGAGCTGCCAAAGTCCCCATGCTGATGATGGATTGATGGTTGGACTACAGCATGTCAAAGTGGGCATGGTTGTGATGGGTTCATGGTTGGACCTGATGATCCTAGACATCTTTTCCAACCTTAATGGCTCCATGATTCTATGAAAGGGGAGAAAACGCTGCAGTCCTTTCAAAACTCAAGAGATTGTCCATGTCCCAGGATCTCACAGAGCTGTGTTCCTTTCAGGCACTTCTGTTCTTCCATGTAGACCTACAGGAGCACTTGGATTTGGGTTTAGTGAGTTAGCATAAACCTGTCCCTTCTCAGTTTAGATCAACTGTCATAGAACCACTTTAGAATGAAACAAGTAGACAGATGGAAAGCAACAAGGTAGCTGGATTTCAATGAGTTGATACTTGTTAGCCGAGCTTCAGTGATGGTGTCGGTTGTGCTCCCCCTTGCTTGGAGGAGAAAGGCACCAACACAACCCTGAAGGATTCATGGGTCATGTCCCAACAACACGGGCAAGAGAGGTGGGTCAAGAAGAGGAGCAGAGCTCCCCCAAGAAGGACAAGACTCAGGGTAAATGGAATCTTCACCCTATTGGCATTTGTTAGCATGTCTTTTGGGAGAAACCTTTCTTTTCCAACCATTGTGCTTTACACAAGAAGCTCAGTCCAGACTCAACTTTGTAGAAATGCACATTCTCTTTTTCTCTTCATGTCACATAGAATAGTTGAGATATGTTTGTGCAGACAGCAATCTTTGTAGCTACAGAGATACAGCTACAAAATTCCATGCGTTGCAATCATCCCATGCTGAGTTGAGCATCCAAACAAGAAACAATAATTCATTTTGCCAGTGGACATGTTTTCATCAAAGCCTAAGGAAAACGAATAATTTGACCTCAAGTGTTGGGTGGTTGGGCTTCTCTTTTTAATTCACATTTTTAAATTCTCTCTCTCTCTCTCTCTTTTTTTTTTTTAATTAATTTTTAAGCAGAGCAAAACCATCCCGCTGAATATTTTCCTTGTACAGTATTTGCTCTTGATTACTTGTGTGTTCCAGTTGCTCTACTGTGCTCATTCCCAGCAGGGTCAAAAACCCAGCTCTAAGAAGATGGGTTAAATCTTAAGGGTCAGAAAAGTGCACAAAAGAAATGAGGAAGATCAATAAAGTGTCATTTCCTGCAGTGAATGTCAAGGAAAATATATGGGAATTTATGTACTATCATTTTTTGTTCACTCTCATATCCACTGAATCAACAGACGTGCCCTGCTCCGTTAGTTAAATCACCTCACTATCTACTTGAACTGCCCTTTAAAGCCTTTTTTTAATGCAATTTGTTAAGAAAGAAAAGTTGAAAACTCTTGGATAAACACACTGCAAGGAAATATTTCCTGTGTACAGCCAAAAGCAGCTGAGGGAGAACCCCTGTCCAACAGTGGAGTCAGTCCCCATCACAATGTATGGCAGCAGAAGAGTAGGGTCACTGGGAGGAAACCAGCATAAACAGGATTTGGTTTTATCAGTGGGAGAAAACAAAACAAAACAAAACACTGCTTAAATTATCCATAACTACGTGCCTATACATGTTTTAATCATATGTTGCTGTTTCAAAGTCCTGCAGCAGGTTAAGTTGCAGACACAGAGCTGCCAATCACTCAGAGTTGCTATCGCTGAGTGCAACATCCATCGTCCCTGCTACTGGTACAAGGGGTGAACAAGGGGCACAAAGCAGGCAGGATGCCTGGGCTGGAGCATCTGGGGGGGGAAGCAACCAGTGCTGGCAAGGATGCTTGCTGGAAGTCCTGTGTGTTAGGCATGAAAGACCTACCAGACTTGTAGGGCATCATTTTGGTGGGATATTGAAGAATGGAAGATGGGTGGGATGCCCTTGCTGGGCATCACTGTGGTGGGATGCTGACGATGGGGAGTGATGGAAGGGGGTTTCCAGCTTTTTGGGCACCATTCTGCTGTGATGCTAGAGCAGGAGGGTAACAACCAACATTGTAGGGCATCACACCCTGCTCTGGGTGGTGAAGCACTGGAACAGATTGCCCAAGGAGGTTGTGGATGCCCCATCCCTGGAGGCATTCAATGCCAGGCTGGATGTGGCTCTGGGCAGCCTGGGCTGCTGGTTGGTGACCCTGTATGCAGCAGGGGGTTGGAACTAAATGAACATTGTGGTCCTTTTCAACTCAGGTGATTCTATGGTTCTATGATCCTATGATTGTAGTGGGATGCTGAAGATGAGGAGTGAGGGGTGAGGGTTTCTTGCCTTGCAGGGCATCATTCTTTTGAGATGCTAAGGATGGGGGGTTTGCTGCCAACCCTGCAAGGCACATTCCCAATGGGACACTGAAGATGTGGTGACCCAGCATCCCTTCCAAACAGCCTCTCTGTGCGGTATAGAGGTCGGGTCTGTGGTACAGTGGGTACCACATCCTCTCCTCTGCCCCATCCCACTGCAACGACCCCCGGAGGGGGTAAGGGGGGGGGGTGATGTCCGACCGTGCCGCGGGGCAATCCCTGCGCTCTGCTGCTCCCTGGCGGCTGCGGGCGGCGGGACGGCGATCTCCGGCTGCTGCCCCGTTCCGGGGCGTCTGCATCCCAGCGCTGCCTGAATCCCCGAGCGGTGCATGATGATGCCCACGAATGTGCGCCCTCTCCCCTCGCCGCTGCCCGCCCCCGCCGTGATGCTTCCCCACTCTCCCACGCGTGTCCATCCCTGTGGGTTCCTTTTCCCCCCACCCCGGTGAATCCTATCGCCCCGTGTGGGTGCCTCCACCCTACTGGGTCCTGTCCCCGCGACTGGATGCCTGTCCCCCCCATCCTTTTGCCTCCCCGCGGGTTGTGCTACCGGCTTTGCCCTGCCCCGGGGCTCGCCTCGCCCCGTAGAGCCGCACCGCCTCCTCCTTCTCCTTCTCCTCCTCCTCCTCCTCCTCCTCCACCTGACACCCCCCGGACCGGCCCACCCCTCCTTCCCTCCCTTCGCCCCTCCCGGAGCTCTCTCGACCGAGCGGGGAAAGCGAACAGAGCCACCGAACGCTGCTCAGCCGCTGCCCCAGCGCAGCCCCGGAGCATGCGAGGGCAGCGGGGGGGGCCCGTCCTCGCTGCCCCCCTCGGTGGGACGGCGGCGGGGCCGTCGCGGGGAGGGGGGCACCGCAATCCGGCGTGAAAAGGGCTTGGAAATCCCTCCATCCCGACTCGGGGGAGGCAGACCTTGCCCCAGTTTTTGGGGGTGAGGTGCTGAGCGAGTGGTGGAGGGGGCTGCGAGGATCATGCCGGGGGGGCTGCGCCTCGGCATCGCTTTCTCCTCGCCCTCCATGGAGCCTGGACTTTTTTTACGATGACTTTCCCTGAGCTGAGCAATGGCAGCTTGAGTGGGAACAGGACGGGACAGGGCAGCCAGAGCGGTGCCAACCGATCCTGGGGGCTGCAAGGCGAGGAGTCTCCCGAAGGCAACGGCACCACGCTGACATTCGCCTTGGACGTGCAGGCGGTGGGTGTGGGGGTCTTCTTGGCTATCTTCATCCTCTCTGCCATCGTGGGCAACATCCTCGTCATCCTGTCTGTGGCTTGCAACCGGCACCTGCAGACAGTCACCAACTACTTCATCGTCAACCTGGCCATTGCTGACCTGCTGCTCAGCACCACCGTGCTGCCCTTCTCGGCCACTTTGGAGGTGTTGGGTTTTTGGGTGTTTGGCCGCATCTTCTGCAACATCTGGGCAGCGGTGGACGTGTTGTGCTGCTCCGCCTCCATCATGAGCTTGTGCATCATCTCCGTGGACAGGTATATCGGCGTCAAGTATTCCCTCAAGTATCCCACCATCATGACAGAGAGGAAGGCTGGGGTCATCCTGGTGGTGGTCTGGCTCTCCTCCATGGTCATCTCCATTGGGCCGCTGCTGGGGTGGAAGGAGCCACCGCCGCCAGATGAGAGCATCTGTAGCATCACCGAGGAGCCAGGCTATGCCCTGTTCTCTTCCCTTTTCTCCTTCTACCTGCCCCTCATGGTCATCTTGGTGATGTACTTCAGGATCTACGTGGTGGCCAGGAGGACAACCCGGAGCTTGGAGGCGGGGGTCAAGAAGGAAAGGAATAAATCCATGGAGGTGGTGCTGCGCATCCACTGCCGCAGCGTGCTGGAGGAGCCTCTCTCCAGCACCAGGAGCAAGGGACACAACTTTAGGAGCTCCCTCTCTGTGCGGCTCCTCAAGTTCTCCCGTGAGAAAAAAGCAGCCAAGACTCTTGCCATCGTTGTGGGCGTTTTCATCCTCTGTTGGTTCCCCTTCTTCTTCGTCCTGCCTTTTGGTAAGTGACCCTGTTCCTTGTCCCAGCCAGAACCCTGTGGCCTTACTCCTTGGTATAAACTTTCAGGACACAATTCGTTTGTGGAGATGAGGGAAAGGTGACAGATAGAACAAGAACCCAGCCGTGAATTAATCCAATTAATTAACACTTGTTCAATATTTATTAATCGGAGGCACATAATCCATCAAAATATACAGCAACTGGATAAAATAGCAACAACAAAAAAAATTGGCTTAGTTAATTTATTCTGCATTCAGTACTTTAATTAATGAAGTTCAGGCTGGGGAGGCAGCTCTGTTTCGAACAGGCTGTAATTACAGCACAAGTGTTCCCAACAGCTTTACAGTTCTGCCCCCATTTTCTCTTCACCCCAGTTTTGGGGAGGGCACCTTAACTGCCTCCATGTGCTCAGGGCTTCCACCCCAGCTGGGAACTGCTGGTGATGTTGGAGATGAGGGAAGTTTAACCCCGCATGGGGCATGTTTAGTGGGCATGGTGGGGATGGGTGGATGGTTGGTGATCTCAGAAGTCTTTTCCAACCTTAAGGATTCTATGAATCTCTGTCAGAGGCTGAAACATGAGTCCTGATGACTTCTCAGGAAGCTGAAGTTGTGTTGGGACCTGGAGCAGGTCCAGGTTTTACCTTGAATGGTGTGGTCTTGGGTGGTCTTCCTCCCACGAGAGTCATGCCCTCAGTTCCTGGCTTTGGGTGTTCAGTTGGGTTTGTCTGCCAGGTTGTGCTCTAAAGTTTTGACAAGACCCCTTCCAGCACAAACACCACACCTGGCCCACAAAATGCAGGGAACCCAGAGCTTTTCACCTCATCTCATAGAGCAGCAATCATCAGCTCAAGGGAACAGATTAATCATCTGGAGTGATGTGGCTAAATCAGGGGAGAAAGCAAAAGTGTTAAAAGAACTAACGAATGTACACAATGGGCTTTGCACAGAGCTCAGCAAAGCAGGGAGGTTTGTCACCCACTGTGGGATCTTTGTGTCCACAATCCATCACACTTCTCGTGTCAGAGCAGGGAAGCACTCTCAGCTCTGCTAAGTGATCACCCAGTGTGAGTAGGGATGTTGGTGGTTTAGCTCAGGCTGTGGTAAGCTTCTCTAGCTATGAAAGCCAAAATCTGAGAATACCTGTTTCCCTTTCAATATTGGGGGATTTTTTTAGTGTTTTCCACTGACAAAAATATTTTTTTAAAATCTTATCTGTCCTGCCTTGAAACCCTTGAAGCAGCTCCTGCAGTGATGTAAGTCACAACTGTTGCACTGAAGTAAAAGGAAAATGCTGATTTATGCCAGCTAAAAATCCAGGCTTTATTCCTTAAGTGCCTCCTCTGAACCCGTTTTCTTCCTCCAAGCTTGCAAGTTCTTTATAAACACAGTTTTGATCTCCACTTCCTGCCGTATTATGTGCATAATATAAACACAGCAAAAGTTCATTTATTTTGTGACTACAAAGTATGCTGCCTTTGATTTCACCTCCCTGTCATTAATTGCATTTTCTGATTCAAGTTCAGCTAATCATTCAATGCTATCTAGGAGGAAGACAGAAACTTTTGCAAAGTCCAATCTGTGATTTTACAGCTCAGGAGAAGACATTCAGAGAAATCAGTGAAGTTCACTGCAAATCCATGAATTGAGAAGCTCTTTTTTGGAATGGTTGTAAATGGTTAAGTGGAAAGGCCTTTGTACTTGCTTGCTGGACAAACATGAGAACGTATTTGGAGCCAATTGGAAATGTAATAAATGTATATATTTTTAATGAAAGTGAAACACTGATTGGGAACAAGTAACATTTTCATTTGAAGTTAAACATATTGTTCCAATTTAAGGAAAGGATGAAAAGAAGTTTATTAAAAAATGAGCACTCAGGTGCATTTCAGCATGAGATGCTGCATTAAAATGTAATGAATGTGCTCCCTTTTCTTCTGAAAATGTGAAAACATTTTGACTTTCTTATTCTATTGGTCATGAGTTTGCAAGAAGTAGCCATTGACTGTAGACCAACTGTTGCCTGAATGGGGATAAGTGATGAGTAAAGCCTTCCAGCTCTGCATAGCATGGGCTGAGTAATCAGAACATCTGCAAATGGCTCTGCCAGCAGCATCTGTGTTAGGCTGTGCACGTCTTTGCATCTTTCTGCAGCACAGCTTCCACTTTAATTAAACAAAATGAATATTTATCACATCAGCGCTGAGAAGCTACTACAGATTTTAAGTAATGGGACCCATGTATGCACTGAGTGCTCTCAGTTGTTTCTCCATGCTTGAGTAATCTGCAAACGTGCTTCTTTAAATCAGCTCTCATTTCTAAATACCTCCACAGACTACTTATCAGCTGAGTAATTTAGCTCTTGGGCTTGTGATACATGTCCCCAAGCATAAGATGCCATCTCCAGGAGTTTTAACACAATTACTGGTTTGCAGGGCTAATGAGAGTTTTTAAGCTGCAGGTTGTTCAACAAGAGATGAAATCCTAATTACAAGATAGTCCTAATGGGCAGTGTCTTTTGCTGGGTGTATAGTAGACCTCTACTAACCTGCCTTATCTGGTTATCCCATGTAAAGGTTGTGATTTATGCCAGGATGCCTCTTTGCTTTCCAAAGACCTGGCAAGGGAACATAACTGGAGGCTTCTCAGAGATGCTGGGCAGGTATTAAAGGGTATTCTGTACGATACAGTTGATGTTCCTTTGGTTGTCTCATCAGTACCTCCTCCATCACAGCTGTAGAGACATGATATATAACCTAGTCTAGATATTTTGAAGTTTAATGGAAGCAAAATTCTCACGTGAGGAAAAGCTCAATGCTGTATCAGCTCAACCTTTTATTAGACACAGAAGAATCTACACATCAGCTGTCCCTTTAGAAACACAACGATAGAGAGCTCATTGGCTCTTCTGCTAATGGAAAACCAAGTTTAGGTGCTGAATTAGTCCTTTCAGTAGACATTTATGCAGTAGTTGAAGGAACCAGAATCCTCCGTACAACACCTGTAGATAGTTAGCTCCTGTCTCCAGTGTGATGCAAGAGGAAATAAATAAGAAAATGCTAATACAGCTCTGCTTCCCATCCACTCTTCAGTGTCTAGGGAGCATGAAAAGATCCCAACTGGGACCCTATTTGGGACCATAGGAGATTGAAGGCAAAGCTTTTCTTCATCACCACCCCAGGAGCACGCAGGAGGAATAACCATGCCTTGGGATGAAGTATGTACCTCGGGTGATACCTCCAAAACTCTTGGTTTTTAACAAGGGTAGTCCAGTCTGGGTGGTGGGCTCATATGTTTGTTATTCTTTGGATTAGATTTTGAGGGACGTGGTTAGTGGGCATGGCTGTGATGGGTTGATGTTTGGACTTCATGATGCCAGAGGTCTTTTTGAACCTTAATGATTGCATGAAGTCATTGCAAATGTGAGAAGGGCACAACACCCATAGCTAGTGCCACTCAAGGCCAAAGTTGACAACCTAAGGATCCATTCACCCTGTCTCCCCACAAACAGCATCTTACTCAGACAAGAAATCCCTCAGTACAAGAAAAATCCTTGTCTTACACTTGCCTAGAGAAACAGTATCCTGGCTTTTTTTTCTCTTCATCCTGAAGGCAGCTACATAAACTGGGTTAAGAAAGGTTTTCTTCAAGCCAAAATGAAGTTACTTTTGTAGGTACTATTTTGCAGAGGGCAGAAGATGTCCTTTCACAAAGTATTTTGCACAAGATGGGCTCACAGAGGCATAGCATTGCTCATATTTTGTAAACTAACTTGTAAAATAAATGATGGAGAGGACAGTGTGGGTAGAAGCACATTTCAGATGAGACAGGGTCTCTTCTGGTAGGAGAACCTAATTCTATTCTAGTAGAAGAGCATTTAGCACATTTTTCCTAAGGAAAAGCAGGGCTTGTATCATCACTCTATGCCTATGTGCATGTCAACCTTTTCCCACCCTCTGCTGAAGCCTTTCATCAATCTCAGTTGCATTTAAGAAAGTGCTGAATGTCTCCAACCTATTAAATTCCCACAAGCTTCATTAATGTGGGCAGATAGGCAAATGAGTGGAAACTTAGATACCCTTCCCCACGGAGGGAAGATTGATGGATTGATGGGTGGGTGGTTGGATTTGGTGATCATAGAGAGGTCTTTTCCAACCTTAGTGATTTTTTATTTGATTCTGTGATTGCAGAGTGAATTTTGCTCCTTTTTAGACACTAAAGAATTATTCACTAAAAATGCACATTTCCACAGAAAATCAGACTTCTTTAATTTTGTTGCGCTCAGGAGGACCTGCTCTAAAGTAGAATTTGAGAGAAGGAGGATAAAAGAGAAACCATTCAGATACTTTGATCATAAGGACAATGCCTTATATCTTCTGAAATGTTCTGAGTCATGGTGGAAGTGGCAGAATTGGCATGGAAAAAGAAATGGGCAGCTGCTTTGACCTGGAGAAGGATTTTTGACTGGATAGTGGGATGAACTGGAATCAAAGCATCAAGTAAAACAGAAAGCAGAGCAACAGCAAGGGACTATTCCGTCCGCCAAATGTTCCCCACTGATCCTGAGCCACAGGAACCATAATTCCTTAAAAATGCCAACAAAGATATAAGCCCAGAGGCTCAAAATCTGTTCAGTGCCAGGCTCCAATTTGATTTATCGGACACCACCCAGGCAAAAGAGAAAATTCTTCTCATCTGCTTTCCACCATAGGATTTTTTCCATCAAATGGATTTGTACCACATTAGAATAAATTAGCTAAATCATGGGGGATGGATGGATCTTCCAGCCTATCTACATGTCTCAGGGAAAGATTACTTGGCCCTGAACCATTCCTGACCTTTTTCTTCAATCTATTTTTAAAGCACTGCAGTATGGGCAAATCCATTAATTTCCCAGGAATATTAAGCTGCTGCTTAATCAGTTTTCAAATGTACTTTCTGCAAATTTTCTTTCCTGGTTCAGGGTATCTACAATAACTTCAGAGCTTTGTTGCAGCCTAC